TAACTTTCATTTGCAAAGACAATTTACTAATCAACTATCGGACTGACTCTCTAAAAAAGTCCTCAGCGGAGTCGCCAAACTGTCGAAACGATTTTTTTAAAAAGTGTGAGATTTTAAAAACCACACCAATTTTTATTTATCTCTTTATGATTAAATTTTAATTTAAAAGTGAATGTGATTTAAGAAAACTCTCGTTTTGAAAAAAATTTAGAATTCCATTTAAAAATAAAAACGTACGGTTCGAGGAATCGCCACCAATCTTTGATTAAGGTGTGATTGGGCAACCAAAAATGTTCTCATTTTAAATAAAAATTAATTTTAATTAATACAACAAATTGGGGTATGTGTTATCAGAATTTGAGTTCAGGAGTCGGTTACGCGTGGGGAATGATTAGCACCCCCACAGTGTCCTAAATCGGTACCTAGTCGATTAATTAATGTCTTTGCAATGAATTTTATAAGTTCGAGTTTAATTTGATTTATGATCCCATAAAAACAAAAAAAATATGAATTTTACAATGAAACCTAATAATATTTACTTATTTCCTATCGAGAAGAAACAAACCCCTCATGCCTTGAGGCAATCAATTCTTACTCCAATCAAAATAAATAAATATGATAATTCCATTATAATATTCAAATGCACAAAAATAGATTAAATTAAAATTACCAAGCCTTTTTAGAATGATGAAGAATATTTGATTATTTAAAAACATCGAGACTAGATCTTAGATGAGTTCTAATAATCTTTTCTTGAAAAATTTAAATAATCAAACATTTCTTTTTCTTTCGTTCCCAAATTTTAAATGACGAATCAATTTTTTTAGGTGTCACTGATATGATACACTTTCAATTTAAAATCGTCGAAAGTGGCTCCCTAATAAGTTAAGACAAGCCCCTCAAACTAATTTTAAATTAAAAGGATATTACCCTTAATCCAATTATGTAATAGGGGTTTAGTTATGCACATGAGAGTATCATACATCTCATACAAAATAATATCATGCAATTTAATAATGAATTATTCGCATACTCATACATATGTAAACATATCATCATGCAAAATAAATATAAACAATTAATTAAAGAAAACAAACCTAATACTATGGTGACGTCTCTCAGCTCTTTCATTTTGTTATGACCATTAACAATGTCAGCAGTATTATTACTAGACTATAACACAATCCGCATCATTAAATTATCCAGCATATTCATATTATAAAGCTTTAATTCCTAAAAAAATGCATACTAATCATAAAATTATGCCTTGAGTGTAAAATCTGGTGAAATGCATAAAAATGGAAGTGTTGAACCAATCAGAAATAAAATGAATAGAAGGATGTAAAAAATACACAGACCGTCATTTTTGAGGTAGCTTTAAGTTGATTTATCAAAAGATGAAGAGTTGAACCACGAATCAAAAGCGTTATCACTGCTATGGAAGACCACCTTTCCAATGTTTTGTTCTGTTTCTTTGTATTGCTGAAAAAAGGTCTTGTGTTTCTCTGGTTAATTGCTGATGATCCCTTTTTTGATTTGTAGGAATGGTTATTTATCATCTTCAAAGAGAATCTTCTTTTCCGAGATTTGAAAATCTCTCCTCATAAAAGAGAGATTATTTTCCTTCTTAGATTGATTTGGATCTACTGTACTTTAGGAAATAATAATATTCTTTTCAAAAGATTATTATTCTTTCCATAAAGCTCATATTCTCTTCATCGATCGGTATATGGAAACATCATAGACATGTGACTAGTCGCAAGACTTGTAAATGGGTTGAAGGATGTAATGGGCTCGAATGAAATTCCGAAAAAAATGAGCGTCTACATGTATAACATGATGTCTCATTGAAATCCCATCAGAAAAATTTAATGGGATAAAATATCGATTAAAAAAGTATAACACATATTTATTATGTTTATGACAATATTACTATATTCAGAGTCTCCATAATTTAGTCTTGAATACAATCTTTAAATGTTGAAATACATAATGCATTTAATTAGCATATCTATCAAACTATCACTTGAATAAACTTGTTGAATATTTATATTATCATTCATCTGAAGACCATGAAAGAAAAAAGTTTAGAGAAACATATTTCATTTCCTCATTTCAACTAATATCTACTTGTAACATTATCTTTATACATTATATTGACCATGATATAAACATAATGATCTTTTAGCACTTAAATAGTACTTTTAGACCAATTAAAATATAGTGTTTTTAGATAAGCAATATCTTAGGTTCGAGTCCTTGTGTATGCGAAAAATCCTCGCTGGAAGACTCACCCACCAAAGCCAGGTATGCGACACGGGTCGATCAAGATTAATCAAGGTGAAACCTTGGAACTGGAGGCTCATCTTTATTCACCTTGAATAATCTTTCAATCATCATAGTATACAGTAAATATATTTTATTCATATGAATATCTTTAAGATTTTTTTGGTATGTTTCAATTTATGGATAATTTTTATATTTAAGTGTTAGATCTTCTAGTTTAGAAAAAAACATAGTTTCAAGGTTATTTATCTCAAATATTTTTAAATAATTAAATTCTTTTGAAGAACTTTAGACTTTAAGATTTGAATTTCTCTATAAGTTTCTATAATATTATAAGGATTCACATATGTCCAACGTTATGTCAATTCATCAAGATATGGGAAAAGGACCAAGACGCTAATAATCATTCAACTTACCAAATTTCAAAGATGGTTTTGAGGAAGAAAACATCGACTTGGAGATTGTTTTTAGTGATATAAACTAGGAAGGACCAGTGGAACCAAAGATTTTCAAAGGCTTGAAACCTGTTGAGCTGCCACGAGAGCTACCATATATCTTTGGATGAGATGGAATTTGCATCAAATTTTGTGGTAAAAGAAGGGTCGATGCTTGATGAATTGCTAGTACTATGAGAAAGGTGGATGGTACATCGAATTTCATGAAATAAGAAGGGTTGATGCCATATAGAGTAAATACAATCATGAATAATCCGAGAGAGGTACATGTCAAACACATCTTTAATGTTTTTCAGTTTGATTGACGATAATTTTTGGGTGTAGGTTGCGGAAAACTAAACTTATCAAGTAGTGGATTTGTCAAGGATTGGCAAAGAGACGAGAAATCTTTCAGAGTTCTAAGACATAAGTCAGTGTTATCAACAATCTTAAAAGTTCATCCGGTGTTCAAACTTTTTCTTGAGAGTTTGAACTAAGGCAAATCAAAATTTGTAGGATGGGGCTCTTACAATCGAGATGTACAATATGATACAAAAGATGAGGTTATTTGGAGACATAGGTCAAGATGAATTGTTTGATGGAGGGGATAAACTAACATTGTAGAGAGTTGGGAGCAAGCCAAAGGTATTGATCAGGAGGATCCAAGATCACTTAGCTCAGTTTCATTTCGAAGACGCGACGAGGATATCGTTAGATCTGACGAGTGAAAATATCATCAATCATAGGATAGGGCTCGAGACAGATGAAAAAATAGTTTTGAAGAGGTTCTTTGCAACATACTAGGTTTGATTAGACCATCTAATTTTTAATTAACATGATAAATATTCTAAGAATAACAGATAATGCGGAGTTTGAATCTTTTTCATAATTCTATTCTGTAGATAAGTGACAGATCTTAGTCGTGGATATTTTGTACCATTAGATGCAAGGGAACTCAATTATAAACATAGATCTTCCTCGCGTCAGACTCTCTAAGCAATCAAAGCATTTACTCTAAAAAGCTCTCTTTGTTTTTTTATTGCCTTGTTTCCTTCTCTTCTATTTTTGCTTATGCACATTCTAAACTTAGCTCCTTTGAGAAAAAGGTTATCAAGTTTGTTTTGCAGTTGGACCACCAACAAGTGTTGAATGCAGTGCTAAGGTTCCAAAAAAATTAATTTTAGAACCTTGAAAATAAAATTAGGAGTGACAATCACAAATCCTAACAATAGACTGTAAAACAAACATGGAATATGCCAAAAAGATATAGCAGATGGACTAAAACCACAGTTACACTTTTATTGTTAATTAGAACATATATCTTTAAATTATGACTTCAATTTTAAATTAGGTCCCAAACTTTAAAGATTTAAAAATGTTTCAAGTAAATCTTGAAAACGTCAATACTGGATCAATCATATTTTCTATAAGCTTAGCCATCAATTTAGTTTTTTTAATAGTCTAGGTGATTAAAATTGATAGTATTTTTTCATATTTTTTTTAACCTATCGACAATGTTCACAAACCTTGACCTTTAGGAATAATATCTTCTCTTTTACCACTGAAACCACGTTTAGTTGTTTCTCCCATCTTTTGAATAATTTCTACCTAAAGGGTGAATTGTGCTCCTAATGGCTTTTGAACTCATAACCTAGGAGAGAAAGAAGATGTCAACTAAAAACTCTAATCACATGCTCTAAAGATTGTTGGCCACTTAATAGGTTCTAGTTGTTAAATATAATACTGTCAAACATGGAGCATATCTAAAACATATTTATATGTTTAAAGATGGACGCGTGATTTTATATTAGGGGATGAATTTCTAAAATTTTAAGATATTATAAATTATAAAATTTTAAGGTGACGAAAATATATTTTAAATAAAAAAATATATAAAAAAAATTAAAATATATAATAATTTTTATTTTTGAGGAGGACAACTATCATCCTCACAGCTGCTCCCTCAGTTCATTCTTTTTTGTGTCTAAATCGTCCATATGATATGTCTAAATAGTCCGTATGATATGCGTTCTAAACCTAGATGAAATTAAAATTATAAAAATATTTAATTAATAAGATATAATTATGTTGAGGCGTAATAGTTTAGCAACATAGGGAGGAATTAACCCATTTCTGATAGTAAGACATATCTTTAACATGGGAGGAGTGATCAAGCGACACGTGTAGATCAAATAACATAGAGACTGTAGAAGAATAACACGCAATAAATGCCCATCCTTTAAAAGCTATCCGCTCCGACTTATCGGCCTCATCGCCGGTACCTCAGAATGAATGTAGAAGAATAACACACAATAAATGCCCCCCACCCTTTAAAAGCTATCCGCTCCGACTTATCGGCCTCATCGCCGGTACCTCAGAATTCTCTTCCCATTTTAACCTCTCTCTCTCTCTCTCTCAAACTTCTCCCTCCCCTCTGTTTATTCCTCAACACAATCCAGCAAGATACAGTGAAAACCCAAAAGAATCCAGCTAAAAAATAAATTTTAAAATAAACAAGTGAAAATGGGTTAGCTTTATCTCTTAGCTCCATTAAATTTAAAACATAAACCAAAAGGAACAAGAGAAAACCCTAGATTTTGGGGGACCTAGGGTCACTTCTTTTATGAATCGGCCATAAAGGAAGCGGATTCATATCAGCAACAAACGAAAGAGATGTACAGAGAGAGAGCGGCCGGAGGTTCCAATGGAGAGGCGGTGTCGGTGGATCGGAAGCGGATTAACGAGGAGCTTGATAAGCAACTGGAACGGTCGTCGCCGTCCACTTCGAGAGCGATCAACGGCAAGGATCAGTATCATGACTCTCGCTCTGCTTCTCTCCCTAATGCTAACGCCTCCGGTGGTATAAGCATAACCACATCTCCTTCTTTCGATAAATGATTTATAAAAATTTTGGCTTTTTTATTTATCTCGTTTCATACGAGGAAATAAGAGAAATTTAGGGGGGTTTCATCATTAATTGATTTTGTCTAGGTTAGACCTTACTATCAGTTTTATTTTTTCCCATTATTTGAGTATATTTGATCTATAATGCAATTATATTTTCTTTTATTCTATTTATATGAAATTTATACAATAGAAATTGGCTGTAAATAAAAGATGATTATCTATTCTTAATTAATATGAATGTTGCTAAAAAAACATATTACACTAGATGTATTTTGATGCCTATGTTTGATAAATAATGAGAAAAAAATAATAAAGCTCAAAGATTTATTTGACATTTCCCACAATGGCACTTAACTTTCAACTGGGTGTGTTTCTTTGTCTTTAAACAGATGGAAGAAACATACTTTGTCATGCAAACTCTCATAATTTAGATTTTTGAAGTGTTTTGTGTGATGTGCTTATATGGGTATTAGCATTTGAATAAGTATTATTGTTCAATGTCTGCGATTATAGCTCAAACGAAGTGTCCGTTGAAATTAAGTTTGTCTTGGCCTTTCTATGTTCCCTCAATTTTCAGTATCAAATGCAACCAAATCTTTTATGTTTTATAAATCTTCCATGTATTCATCTTTCTAGATTTTACTTAATAGTTGCTCATCCAGTGATTACCTACCTAAGAACCATGTTTTCGAAGTGAGGGTTGTTACATCTTTGTGTTTGGTAGCAACGCCTTTCACTGATACGAATTTTGATTGCATTTACTGCAGATGAATCTGAAACTGACAGTGAAGAGTCTGACGGGGATGACACGTCTTGGATCTCTTGGTTTTGCAATCTACGTGGAAATGAGTTCTTTTGCGAAGTTGATGAAGACTACATACAAGATGACTTTAACCTTTGTGGGCTAAGCAGCCAAGTTCCTTATTATGATTATGCACTTGATTTGATTTTGGATGTTGAATCTTCTCACGGTAAGCTTACTTATTTCTCCTCATGGCAAGTTGTTGGGATGTTTGAAAGTCTTTTCCTTTCTGTTTCTGTTGATTTTGTTCTTCTCCATTTTTTTTTCTTTTGGTTTCTTTTTCTAATAATTGCCTTAAATCTTCTTGTCGGTCTTCTTGCAATGTGTAATTTGTGTTGGACTGGCATTTGATAGGAGATATGTTTACGGAGGAGCAAAATGAATTAGTTGAGTCTGCGGCAGAGACGCTTTACGGCCTGATTCATTCCCGATACATATTGACAGGCAAAGGAATTTCTGCTATGGTGCGATGTTTGCCATGATATTGAATGTTATAGTTTGATGTTTTCATATACATGTAAAACTGAGCAGCTGAATATAACTATTTATATGTATGTATATTTTAACTATTACAGCTAGACAAGTACAAGAGCTATGATTTCGGAAGATGCCCTAGAGTTTACTGCTGCGGACAACCTTGTCTTCCGGTTGGTCAATCGGATATTCCTCGGACAAGCACAGTAAAAATATACTGCCCTAGATGTGAAGATGTCTACTACCCTCGCTCCAAGAACCAAGGCAGTATCCTTTTGTCCATTGATCTTTTTTGTTGCATGCATTTTGTGTGTTGGGGGGTGGGGGGAAGATAACTTGCATGTTATGAATCCATCTTTTTTTTACATTCCTCTGCATTAGGGTGTGAAGTAATGAGTTTACCTTAATTGTATGTAGACACTGACGGAGCGTACTTCGGGACGACATTTCCGAACCTGTTTTTGATGACATACCACCACCTGAAGCCACAAAAAGCATCTCAAAGCTATGTGCCAAGAGTATTTGGGTTTAAGATCCATAAGCCATGACATAATACTGTTTTTGGGCAATAGTTGTATTGCCTTTTTGCCTATCTGCAATGCGAGTAATGCTTTCGAAACGATGGGTGTAGCTGGGCAGAGTCTTTCAGGTTCTTTTCAAATGTTTTTAAACAAATTACGATAAATCTCAATTCCTGATTTTCAATTTATGCTTCCGAACTCTTTCTTGGTAGAGTAACCCTCAAAAGGCAAATCCTCCATTGCATTTATTATTTGTAGGAACAGACTCAAATGCGAAATTTTTAAGTTTACCAGAATTAGTCGCTAAGTTAACCTGCCACAGGTGATTTGATTGATGTCATTTACAGTTAAGCTGAAAGATCAATAATTCTTTCAACAATGATTTAGATAGTTAAGTGGTTTGATTGTTAAAGTTGAAAGTTCAATAATCAAATTAAAATTTATCTATATAATCAAGTAGTCATGTGTGTAATTTATAGTTGAACAAATTATTTTATGAATCAAATCATAGAAAAGATTAAAAGAATGTCTTAATTTTCTAAAATTATTTGGGCTTTATATATATAAATTTAAATTTAAAAAAAAAATGATTCTTTTAGTTAAATCTAAATTTGTTCGACTCTACAAACTAATTGGTCTTTATTTGATACATGTTAAAATACCGACGCGAACATTTCAACTGAGAACATACCAAAACAAAAGAGTATGCCAATTTATATGTATTTGACAAACCCAGCAAAGGGGTATTAATCATCCTGGGACATTGCTCAAACCATATTTAATAAGAATACCTGCCAGTTGGTATAAATTTACATGAAGTCAATTTGAGATGCATGCTGTTTACTTTTTGGGTCGGGAATGCTTTAAATTCTCTCTTCTCGAGTAGAATTTATTCTTAATCTCCATCAAACGATAAAATAATCTACCATTCTTTAATTTCTTTTTTTTCTATGCATTGTTTAAAAAATTAAACTCCATGTCATATCCACAATTCAAGGCCTTCATATTTGAGAAGAAGAAAAATCTTAGATATTTTGAAGTTCCGAAGAAAAAAAGATCTCATGGAATTGAGAAGAAAACCTAATTTGACTTGGAAAGCATATAGAAATCTATTTTGAATTTTCTTTCAAAACTTTGAAGATGTTTGAGACGACTTTGCTAATGATAAAACTTGATATGAATACGAAAGAATATGATATCTATGACAAGGTCCAATTTTAAAAGACATCATCCACAACTTCGTCCTAGGTCACAAATCGATTTCTAAACTTACCCCTCTCATGAATGAACCAAAGCTATAGCAAAACATGCAAATTGCGGTTTTGCATGACTTCTGATAAAATATTTGATTATTTATATGACTAATAAAGTTTTAATATGTTTATTTTGTAACCAAACAGGATTCAATTGTTTAGAATATGATTCAAGGCTATTCTACAGGCTTTGGACCTGACCTCAGAAATTGGAAACCTAAGGGCTCACTTTTCAGTACCAATTTTTTTTCTGAACAAATTAGTCAAAAAGTTGGGGATTGTCTCAGGAAAGGCGGACTAATATACGGCTAAGAAACAGCGTGACCGATAATTTAATAAGATACTTAACAAAGTTGGTTTAGCACTACAGGAAATGTTGACTAATAATAATGTTGTAGGTGGAAAACATGAAGAAATATTAAAAAATTTGGCAACCGGTAAACTTAGCTTATCGGTAGGTACCGATACCGTGCACAGAAGTATCGATATATATAGTAATATATAAGAAAGTGATGAAAACTAGTTCAAAGTAGACATGTATCGATACCTTTATAAGTATATGTATAAAAGTATCTGTACTTTAGTAATTTAAAAGAATTGCAATAAAAGTGCCTATAAAGTATCGATACCCTACACACATGTATCGATACATGACAATATAACATGTTGAAATTTGACAAATCCTGTTTTAATTTGACAAAACAGGTAACGAATTTGACAAAACCGATTGGAAATTAACAAAATCGGTTTCAATTTGAGAAAACCGGTATAGAACTACCGAAATTGTTGAAATTTGTATCAATATGTTTATAAGTATATGTACCAAAGTATCGGTACTGTAGGAATTTAACAAAAATGAAAAAAGGAAAATGTCTCGAAAGTATCAATACCTTACTCACATGTATCGATACATAACAATATAACATGTTGAAGTTTGACAAAACCAGTTTTAGTTTGACAAAACTAGTAAAGAGATACCGGAATGGTTGACATTTGTATTGATACTTTTATAAGTATATGCACCAAAGTATAGGTACTTTAGGAATTTAAAAGAATTACAATAATAGTGCCTATAAAGTATCGATACCTTAGAAACATCTATCGATACATGACAATATAACATGTTGAAATTTGACAAAACCGATTTCAATATGACAAAACCAGTAAAACGCTATCGATTATGTTGACAGTATCGATACTTTTATAAGTATATGTATCATAGTATCAGTACTTTAGGAATTGAAAAGAAATGAAAAAATGAAAACATCTCGAAAGTATCGATACCTTACACAAAAGTATCGAGACTTAGGTAATGATATCGATTAAATATAAATAACATAATCGGTTAAAATATCAAAGGCATTGCTAACAGAGAAATAGATAGAAGACAACCATAGTTTTTTAAATCTAAGCGTATTAGTTGTTGAGAAATAGAAGCAAGGCGTTTTTGAAAGCGTAGTTGTTTGTTTGTTCTGCAATCGAATTGAAAGGTATGTTGTCAAAACCCTAGTTTTTATTGTAGTATTTGAAAATAGGGGTTAGGTTTATGAGTTTGGGGTTTTTAAAGTAAAGAAGGATTTGAGACTGATTACAGGTAGAAAGTGATATTCTAGGTAGAAAATAAATATCGATACTTTTATATAATATTATTGGTAGAAATTGATATTGTAGGTTGTATAAAGGTACTGATACTTGTAGTAGAGATTATTCTCATCCCTTTGAAGGAAACCCGATTATTATAGGATTAGTTATCAATACTTGTATATTGAATAAACTGTATGTAACTTGTATTTGATTTGATTTAATTTGATGCTTGAATGTTCATGAACTGATATATGAAGGAAAAATGAAGTCAATGGATCTTGCAATTGCTGTTCGCGAAGATGACATTGAAATGGAGCACGAGAGTATAAACAATGAAGAAAATCAAAAGCAACCACTGGGTGGATATATGTACTTCCAGTAAGTATCAATGTATTTGTGTAATTTTTGTTGAAATGGTAATTAGATTAAAGTATTTAAGAACTTTAAATTGATTACAAATTTCAAATATTGACAGTATGACTTAATGCTAAAGGATGAAGGAAGCTGGTTATTATAACATCGGTTCAGTATGTAAACTAAAATTAAAATTGAGTATTATTTAGCGTTAATTTATTAAGAAACGTTTATGTTTAATTTCAGGAGAAACATGAGGTGTTGGAGAAATGAAAGTTGATGAGTGATGCTGAGAAGGAATCGTATGTGACACTGTCCAAAAAGGATAGAAAACAATATAAAGCTTAGAGGAAAACACATGAAAAGAATGTATTCATTAAACTTGTATATAATGTGATAAACGATATATAAAAACACTAACATTATATATTTTTTAAAAATGTAGGAATTGTCGACAAGTTGTAGCATCGAAAGAGTGAACTCCATAATTTAACACTTAAAGGAGAAGAATAAAGTTGATGTGCTGGAAGAAATGGAGTTTGGATCTTTGATAGGAGTGAGAGATCAACCAATTCGGAGGGAATTATGTCGATCGTTGATGGAGGAATTTGATGTAGAAAAATGTAGAGTTTAATGTGGTGATTATTCATTTCCTATGGGGGTCCCATGTGTTGTATCCGTATTGGGGCTAGAAGATAAAGGCAATAGTGTTGAAGAAGTTATTAAGACGAAGAACTGGAAAGAACTTGCCAAGAAACATGATGTAAAGCCCAAGGTGGCATATGTTGGACTTGAGGAGGAAATTAAAAGAGTAGCTTATGACATGGATAACCTGAAGGATCGGGTACTATTGTACCTTGTCGTAATCTTTCTTTGCCCAACTAGTGATACATCCCCGAGCAAGGACAATATCAAGTTGATTTGCGACGAAGGGTTGAAAGGTAATTCGAGTGATAGAATAATTGAAGTTGGAAAGACTGAGCAAGCAAAAAAGGGTAATAAAAGTAATTATATAATATTAAGATTATAAAAAATGTATTAATGTTGTAAGTTAATTTTGAAGGTTATTGGAAATGAGGAAGATGAGGAAGAAGACAAGGTAGAAGAGAAGGTAATAGGAGGATTATGGTTAGGGGAGTACAAGTAAATTTGACATTTTGATGTCTGAGTTTGCGGAGTTAAAAAAGCCATTTCTGATTGTACAGTCCAAAATTAAAGAGACAAATGAGAGCCTTAAGGGGGAAGTGGGTGGAAAATTGATGGAGTGGTGAAAGAAGTGGTGGAATTGAGGGTTGAATTTAAGGAGGTAATACGAGATGTTGAAAAAAAATGAAGGGGAAAATGAGGGCTGAAATAAAAGATATGAAGAGTTATGTGGAGGAAAACTATGATGAATTTAAAAAAGATGAAGAAGAAAAGTTGGAGGTAGTGAGAATGAAGGATGTTAATGTTATGCGGGCACCGGAGAATGTAATCGATGCTAACCTGAACTCAAAATGTCTTGCACATAAGAAGAAGAAGCAGAAGGTAAGATGAATAAGAGAAAATTGAATTTGATTTTTATTATTGTGTTGTGAGTAATATTTTTAATCAAAATTGTAGGTTGAAAAAGTGAAAATACCAAAAGAAATTGGTGTATTTGAAAGTGGAATGTGTGATTTTTTATGGAATAGTGGGTTACCAATGAGGTCAGTAATATATATTGCTTTGTGAGTGATATTTAAATATTTCATGAAAAAACATTAATCCAAATTTATTATACAGTGACGTTGTAATCCAGTTGGGAAACCAATTCGCCACAGTATCCGACATTGCAACGTTAAAATATATGGCATGGGTTAATGGTCTGGTAAGTAGAAAGTATAAATTGTTAAAACCTAGTGAATATGTTGTAATTGTGTAGTTAATTTTGTAGGTTATTGATTTGGTCGGCTGGGTGTTGGTTAACGATTCAAAGAAGATATCGGGGAAGCGGAAGATTACCTATCTTTCATACAATTTTGTGGT